CCCGGTTTCGAAAGCAGGGACTGTGGTCGCGCCGAACTCTTCCTTCTCCAAAAGCAAGGGACTCAAACCGAGCCCGTTCTTTAACCGCAGGGGCAGTCGCGTTTTCCGAAGGGATGATGACGGACACCAGTTACTTCCTTCTCCCACTACCGACCCACCCAGCTATGCGATTCCTGAGAGGACGCCCCCCCCCCCAATTAAAGTTTGGATGCCTTAGAGGGCTGTAGACACTGGTTGGACACAGGCCAGTCTTTGTTCAACTCTCCACTTGAAAGGACAAAAGAGGATGCGAAAGACCTGTGCTTGAGACCCCGGAGAACCACTGCCGGTCGAAGTCGACAGTACCAAGCTTGATGGACCCAGGGTCTGATTCAGTGTAAAGCAGGCTCATGTGTTCAAAACTAGCACAAGTAAAGGTAAAGGTTCCCTTGCTCGAAAGCCAGTCGAGTCTGACTCTAGGGTTGCGGTGCTCATCTCCGTTTCCAAGCCAAAGAGCCAGCACTGTCCGAAGACGTTTCCGTGGTCATGTGGCCGGCGTGACTAAACGCCAAGGCGCACGGAACGCTGTGACCTTCCCACCGAAGTGGTACCTATTTATCTACTTGCAATTTCTTGCTTTCGAACTGCTAGGTTGGCAGGAGCTGGAACTAGAGACGGGAGGTCACTCCGTCATGCGGCACTCGGGTCTCGAACTGCTGAACTACTGACCTTCCACAGCCTGCAGTTCAGCGTCTTAACCACTTGAGCACAAGTAACGGCCACCTAAAAGAGCCCTGTTACTGCTTCAGTGTGTTTTTGAAAGGGGACAAAGACAGAACTTAAAACATACACAGCCTTCCTGTATCATTACATACCCTGGTGTTCCCCCTAGGCTGAGTTAAGTGTGAGCCAGCTCACAGGTGTTTTTTTTAGCCTCTGGCGCTCACATTTTTGTCTCGGCTCAGGGAGGATGGGGCTCCAGAGCAAACTGATTCACGCAGCAGCCGAATCGCTCGCTCGCAACTTTAATGCCAGGAGCTCACAAAGTAGGACTTCTGCTCACGAGACTCCATAGGTCAGAGGGAGCAGTGGCCGCTGCGTATAACATAGTACAAAATGTCTCCCAAGCAGTTGTCCTTGTGCAAAAAGCTTCAAACCTGGACTGCCCCCTCCCCAAAGTGTGCCGGCGATGGTCCATTCCAGTCCTCGGATAACACAGCGTTTCTCAAGGCGGACAGCCTTTACGAAGCTGCCTCAGATAACTGGCCTTATCTTCCATGTGCAACTTGCGCGATATGACCCAAATCCTCTGGAAACAAGTCCTGTCACCAGTGTTCCCCCTAAGCCGAGTTAGTGTGAGCCAGCTCACGGGTTTTCTTAGCCTCCAGCGCACACATTTTTGTCTCGGCTCGGGGAGGGGGGGGCTCCAGAGCAAACTGATTCACGCAGCAGCTGAATGGCTCGCTCGCAACTTTAATGCCAGGAGCTCACAAAGTAGGATTTTTGTTCACGAGACTCCACGGCTTAGAGGGAGCACTAGCACCGCGTTGCTGCGGAGTGGAAACTGCGGCTATGACGCCTGGAAATGGAGGGTTATAACCCATCACAGTGAAGCTACGGTGGTTAACCTCAGCCACCTGTGATCCCTTCTCCTTGCTTTGAAAAGGAAAACCATGACCTTAGTGGAAGCACACAGCCCAAGCTAGCACAGTGGAAGGTTGAGTGTCCACAAGCCGTCTGGATTCCATTCGTATAGGACCCACCCACCCCCAGCAGAAAGCCAGTTTGGTGTAGTGGTTAAGTGTGCGGACTCTAATCTGGGAGAACCGGGTTTGATTCCCCACTCCTCCACGTGTAGCCGCTGGGTGGCCTTGGGTCAGTCACAAGCTCTGGCACAGCTGTCCTTGAAAAAGAGCAGTTTGTGTCAGAGCTCTCTCAGCCCCACCCACCTCACAGGGTGTCTGTTGTGGGGAGGGGAAGGGAAAGGAGGTTGTAAGCCGGTCTGAGGCTCCGAGTGAAGGGCGGGGTATAAATCCAATCTCCTCCTCTTCTCTTCTTAAATGGAAGCCCCCTGCAGCCATGAAACAGCCAGGCTTCTTAACGCTGATTACTCGTATTTATTTACCAGCATGGATGACATTGCAAATAGCTCACAGAAGCTAGACAGTGGTGCCTGCCACGTCCTTCTTAAAATCCCCCCCCCAAATCCTCTCAATCCCCCAAAATGTTCCAAGACATATTGGCATTATTAAAGGGGGGAGGGGTTTCGTTTTAAGTTGCACAAAACGACGAACTTTCATTGAGAGGCCTTGTGGGGAAATGGCTCCAGAAGTTAGGCGAACCCACCTTCCCCCTACCACCCCGGCTCCGGGAGGGGCGAACCGTCCACCCAGCCCAACCCCGAATCCCAGTCGATGTTGAGATAACGATTAGGTCTAAAAGTCCCCTGCCCTGAAACAAGAGACTATTTATTTACAAAGATTACAACGGCTATCCTGGACAGACAGGAAATGTAATGTGGAAAATGCAAAAACTTTGTACAGAGGGAGAGAGAGGAGGCGAGAAATGACAGCTCAAAGCAAGCGGGGACGGAAGGGCGAGAAAAAGTGCACGGCCGGTTTGCAGGTTTCCCCGCTTGCGGGAGATGGGTCTTCGGCAGCAGCGCGGCGACACGAGGAAGGGGCGTGAGCAGGAAACCGGTGTTCGCCAGAGAGCCGGACGCAGTTTTGGTGCCTAAGCGTCCTCCTGAGGTGCCGATGCGGCTTCTGAAGGAGTTCCGGGCTTCAGCGAGCTTCTCGGGGCACGTCCCCTACGACACGGGCTTTCCTCGCCCTCCGGTGCCCTAATCTAGCAAAGCTGATGCTGCTCTGGTAACCGAGAGCGGGGAAAGGAAGGAGACAGACAGCCGGACAGACGGTGAGTAAGGCATGTTGCCGGCCCGACTTGCTCGGAGCGCAGTCCGTGATGTGCCTTCGCTGCTGCCACGGCCAGGGCTGCCATGAGGGGGCGGGCGGGCCCGGCCTCTCCACCCTCGATCAGTCAGTACTCTTCTACCCAGCCGTTTTCTGATATGAATGCGTCTATCACCTCCTTCATGGCAAGGTTTGGGATCAGCTGGTCTTGGGTCAGGGGGCTTCGGGTCACGGGGTCAAAGTGGCCGACCCGCTGAAAAGATAGAGGGGAAGAACGCCCATGAGATGGGTTGGAAGAGGCTGCCCGAGAAACAGCCCCGATTCATGGGCCCACCACGTATCACCCTGTTCCCCGTTATGCAAAAGCTTCATTCACAGGGCACAGAAGAAATCAGATGTTGCTCATTATGGGCGCACGTCAAGAGTACACAATCACAGAGTTAGACAGGACTTCCAGGGTAATCTAGTCCAACCTTCCGCTCAATGCACGAAATTCACAAATACCCCCCCACACACACACACACAGTGACCCCATCTCCATGCCCAGAAGGTAACAAAAAACCTCCAGGATCTCCGGCCAAACTGGCCTGGAGAAAATTTGCTTCCTGACCCCAGAGTGGCAATTGGCATTTCCCTGGGCACATAAGAAAGGGCCATGAGAACCAGGGGTCATTTCCTGCAGGAGCGGAACTCCGGC